AGAGAGAGAGAGAGAGAGAGAGAGAGAGAGAGAGAGAGAGAGAGAGAGAGAGAGAGAGAGAGAGAGAGAGAAGTTGGGTGTTGGACAGCAGAGTAACGATGGTGAAGTGGAGTCGGGAAAGGGTGGGATGGGCAAGGAGGGTATGTGCTGAAAGAGAGATATGACGATGGGCATCAAAAAGGTGGGAGAAGGTGGGTGATGAGGTCAGAGAAGCTTACCGTGGTAGCCATCGAATGGCCTGCAATGGCTCCCGCTATAACCCCAGCAGGTGATGACGCAGCTGCAAGTGCTGTAATTTGCATACACAAACACAAAATCCCAGTGAACTTATGGACAGCCCAGTGAAATCAGTGTGAAACTGTGTAAGTTGTTCTCGAGGCGAGCCACCAAGGCAGCCCAGGCAGCACGGCTGGTAGCGTAGGGTAATCTAATGCTACACATAAAAAATACATTACTATATCTAGTAGATTCAGAGTAGATTATGAATACTCAGGGCTCACTCCTCATTGATCTCTTTCCTAAGGCAGCCCAGACGGCGCGGTTGGTAGAATAGGGTAATGCTAATGCTATATTCAATAGTTCATTACTATATCTAGTATCATCCTAGATTCAAAGTAGATTATGAATACTCAAGGATCACTCCTCATTGATCTCTTTCCTGTCTGGCCTTGCATTCCTCAGCTATAGAAGGACTAAAAGTATGACAACATCCTATATTCCAATGATGTACAGGCAATGATTGTCACAATTTGTCAGTTGTCTCTTATTTTTCATCTTTATTTTCTCGTTTCTTTTCTATTTTGCTCCCTCAATGAACACTGTAATGGACCCAATACCTGGGTTACCAGGCCCACCCGGCCGGGCATGCCAGAGGTACCCTGGGCATTCGGCAAGCAAAAACACCGCTTGTCATTTTCTGTTTTTTTTTTTGGCGGTGGGGCTGTAGTGTGCCCACCTGAATATGCCCAAATCCGGTCCCTTTCACCATTTGGGGGGTTGGGGGGGCAAGGGGGGGGTCCTTGAGGCACAGACACACACACTGCAGACATTTGAAAGGATTTCACATTGCAGGACCCGAGCCCCCGTTCCAGGGTCACGGTCCCCAAGTCCAAAAGAGGCCGAAGAGGCCGAAACGTCAAAGGCCAAGGCCGAAGGCCAAGTCAAGCCAAGGCCAAGTCAAGTCAATATTAAAAGACTGCCCAGCGCAGTCCAGGCATATTGTTCATTCATGAGAAGGTGGAAGTGCTGTTGGCTGCTTGGGCAACATCACGAGTGGGACTGTGTGCCAGGAAGCCTGTTGGGCGGCGCCAGGTTGAGGAAGACAGGCGGCCATAGCCGCAGTAGAAGTAGGGCACTAGGAGGAAGGCGGATGCATCCAGGGTTATGATTCTCATAGTAGCAGAGGAAGTTCAAGAGAGAGAGAGAGAGGGAGATACCAAGGCTTTGTGATACAAACATTGAGAGAGAGAGTGAGAGTGAAAGAGAGAGGGAGAGTTACATGAGGAGTGAACTCAGTTAAATGCCTGGCTGAAGCTGGTGGCTATTGCGCTGCTCGAACTCTGAATTTGTATAATATGATCATCCATTGAAGTTTCTTAAGCTGCGCTAATCTGGTGTTCCCATCTCTGGACTTCGGTGTGAATTCTCATTGTGCATGTGATTGGAGTGTGAATCTAAGCGGTTCAAAGCATTGGTATCAGAGCTGGAACCCGCTGCATCCGCTGAAGTTGGGTGCTGGCAAAGCATAAGGCCGGCGCGAAGGTGATTAGGGTTGACCTAGAGGTGAGGGCTGAAGAAGAAATGGCCTGTTGCGTGAAAGGGAGAGCACGTACCCACATGCAAGAGGCGGCAATGTGAAGCGTCAACAAAGGAGCGTTCAAGAGTGAAGCGCTCCGCCCCCCTAAGCCCTGTATTTGTTGATTTTGAATTTTGCAAGTCTGTGTACCTTCCCATTTCTCGGAGACGCTGCTGCTGGTCAAATTCATTGACGTCATCTTTTGCAATTGTCTTGAGTCAGCAACTGGATCTGCTTGAGATTGTGCCAGTCCAGAGGACTGATTCTCTCCTGGAGGAAAGGCTCCTCCCCTTGTGGGGAAGTGGTTAGTGTTTGCCAGCCTACCTGGGGGCAGGCGTACCCAGTGGGACACTACCCCCATGAGAGATCAATACTCATGTGTGCTTTAGGTCAAGCCTAGGGTAGAAGCTCGGCATCTGGATGAATCCCCCGCAAGTAGGGAGCATGGGCATGAGCGACGGACGCTTGTAAAACAACCCGGCTAGCCCTAAGACCGGTACTGACCCCCATGCAACCGAAACGGAGCTGATGCAGTGAGGAGCTCTAAGTTTGAGAGCAATCCTTCAGACTGGTGGCCATGACATCCTATCTGCGTCGTTAAAGAATTCTTGAGGTCCTTGCTGGCAGATCTTGAAGTGCTGGTTGGCCACCAGTTGTTAGGAGAGCTGTACTGACAGAGTGAGAAGGGAAATTAGGTCAAACGGACTCAAACCCTAATCTAGGCCAGAATTTAAAGTTGACTACGTGTTGAGGGTTAGGTCTACGTGGTGAGGAGGGGGAGTCTACTTACCAATGCATACTCTCATCATTGATGACTACCCCATGTTTGCTGTCTTGGCCCTGTCTGCGATATGGGGGCCGCTGTTCTGCCTTTTCTTTCCCCTTGGATTCTATTGAACCAGTAGGATGTGTACGACCATTAGGTCTGGTAAATCCACCCAACCGTTTACTAAAAAGGAGGAAAAAGAAATTGATATGAGGTTGGCGGAGAAGAGAAGTGCAAGGAAAATGAGCGATAGCGAATTCCAGAAACCAAGCAGCATCATGCACATGAAACCAGATAGTCTTGACCTCGAACCAAAAGCAGAATTGCAACTCGAGTTCCACCAAATAAGAGCACAGCAAAAGCTCACAACTGACAATGCTGGAATAGTCTCATCATCATCAACAATGAACCAATGTCGAATTCCTATCTAGCGCTCAGCGCCCAGACTACAAATGGCAGATCCTATCCAGCCTATCTACAATGCCGCTGGTGACGTCAACAGCTTCCCGAAGTACGAGAAGGTCTCTCGCTTCACTCACAACCTCGATCCCCCACACATGCCACGTGCACCCAAGGACCACCATGCGCCCCATCCAGCACCTCGCAGGCCAGCTCGGCTATGGCTGCCTGCGTGTGCCTTGATCGCCCGTGAGCACGTGGGCACTTGCCTGCTGATAGCGCAGCAGCGCTTGCGCAGCATGTAGCAAGTGCCCGAATGCCGAATGCGGAGGCAGGCACTTTCCTTTATGGAAGTGGCCTGCCTGCTGCGTGCTGCCTGGCTGCGCTGGGCCCCTGCCCCGAAGCTTCCGGTAGGCCCAAAGTGGCTGAGCCCCTTTCCCAGGGAATCAGACACAGGGCCTGGGGTGGTTACCCGTGTCCAACTGCCAGCGGCCTGTGTTCAGTCCATGCCCCGTGTCTGGCCCAGGGCCTGCCTCAGATACATTTGAAAAAGGCAGGCAGGGCCTGGGCTCACTCAACCAACTGGCGCTGCGCAACTGCCTGAATTTCCCAGTTGCGTGGAAAACCCAAAAATAGGCCTCTCGTCACTTGTCAGGCCTGCCTTCACTTAGGGCGGCCGTTCTTACTGAAAAACAGGGCCCAGTAGGGCTTATCGAGGCCTTGAGCCTCGCATTTTTCCCTCCATACTTTGACAGTCCTTTGAGAAGTTCACTCAATCCGGCGCTTTCCTTTCTTCAGTGCCTTCTCATAGTGAGCGACAACGTGAGGAGCGGTCTGCATCAGTTCCTCCCTCATGAACCATCTGTCCTCCTTAGGATCAACCGTCAACGTGATGTCTGAACTGAACGTGATACCGCAGCTTCGGCTTTGGAGGACGGACCCTGCCTGTTGGTCTTGAAACTGGCATTTCCCTGTGGTCGACGATGTCGTCGATGTCTACCTCTCCATCCATGGTTGGGGGCAGCATTGAGGGACGAGAGGGAAACTGATCAGTTTCCTCGAAAGGTGTGAGTTTGGAGGCGTGAAAGACAGGGTAGGTGCGAAGGGGACCAGGGATTTGCACAACATAGGAAGGCCCATCGGGATCGTCTCCGACCGCATCTAAAACTTCCCATGGTCCGAAATATTGGGGCATGATCTTGCGAGAAAGTCCGTGCTCTTGCCCGAGTTCAGACGACTTGACCCAGACGGGCGGCGCTGTTTGTTCTCAGATTCCATCATGGTCGCCTGTGCTCTGTGCATCTGCTCCACTGCTTGCTGCATGAGACTTTCATACGGGTAAGCAAATTCCAATGTACCAGGCGCAGCAGTGGGCTGGTTCTCAGGAAGTAAGAAGTCTAGAGACAGTCGAGGCTTGAAAGTTAGTAGCAGACTGTTCGGGCTTACCCCTGTTGCGCTGTGCACAGTGTTGTTGTACAGACTGGCGACGAGAGCAAGCTTATCCCAGTCCACCTGATTGGGCTTGATATAGTGCCTCAGCAGGTGTTGTACAGCGCGGTTCAGCTGCTCTGCTTGCCCGTTTGCCTCTGGGTGATTCCCGAAGGTCATCTGCAGTTGCATCCCTTGTTCAGCAGCTGCAGCCTTCCACAACTCACTCGTGAATCGAACATCCCGGTCACTAACAATAGACTTTGGCAGTCCAAAGTCTCTGACCCAGTTCTCTTTAAATAGTCTAATCACGTACTCGTTTTTTGCTGTTTCAGGCATCGCGACTAACCTAGTTTACTTACTAAACCTATCCACAATGACAAAGATGTATCTCATTCCACTCTTGCTGGTGACCAGCGTATCCATGAAATCCACTCCTGGAATCAGCAGGGGCTTGAGAAGCCTAAGAGGGGCCTGTGTGCGTGGCTTGTCTCTCTGGCAGACTTGACAAGTTTCCACGTACAGCTTGGCATCTTTCATCATTGTGGGCCATCGGAACTGCTGCAACAAGTTTGCTGCAGTCTTCTTATAGCCAAAATGTCCGGTGGCATCATGACACTCGCCTAAAAATAAACTACGCAAAGACTGCCGGTTTGGCACACACAAACGTTTATTCCCGGCCTTTTTTAGGAACAGCCGGCCGTTGACCAACACAAACTCGTCAGAAGTCACTTTGTCCTTTGCCTTGAGCCAGCGTATGATCTCAGCCATAAACGGATCCTTGCGATAGGCTTCCACCAAGGATCGAGTAACATCGTCCGCAAGCCCAAACTCAGTGATCAGCTCACCAAGGAAGTCTGGCCTACGCGACAACGCATCAGCGACCTTGTTGTACTCTCCT